GATTCTCTATGTCCCATTGTGCGAACATAATTGATATTTGTTCAAATAAATTCAAAGATACAATAGTCGTCAGTTAAAATAATAACTTCTTCTCTGCGACTTTGCTTAAGAAGGGAAAAGCTCTAAAGTCAATCATGTAGCTGGGAAAGATGTAGAACGGAAAGAAGAATTCCCTTTATCAGTATTTATTGATAGAATAAACCTTCTGGCACTCAAAGGTAAATCAAAAATGCATTTAGCTATGATATGGCCTATACACAGGCTTGTACCAGTTGGATAATGGCAGCCAACAAACATGCAAATGATTAAAATTTGGTGGCAGATTTATGCACAGCAAGAACCCTAGTATATCTGAACTGCGCATCAAAACGAGTGTTCTAGACTCAATATTCGGCGTGGCACGAGATGATTTTATAAATTTTGTTAATTTTTTTTTTATTTTTGCAGTGAGCCTATTTTAACTGTATCAATGCCTCGCCGAAAGATTCTCGTGCTCATTACAAACATATATCAGAGTTTAAAGAAGTCGTACCATTGGATTGAAAGAGACTGGTTGGTCAAATCGACTAATCGCGCGACATCTGTGTCGAGGTGATGCGGCTAATGGTCGATGTTGGCAAGAGTGGGTCAACAACGGAAGAATGCATCGTCAGGATGGCAGCTGTCGATCAAGGGACACAACAGAACGGGAGGACAGATTGATTGACAGAACGGCTGTCGCAGCACCGGACTCGACATCATCTACCATCCAACGTGTAAACGGCACACAGGTGTTCAAAATGACAATTAACAGACGACTTAAAGAGCGGAATCTAAGAGCTCGCCGACCGTTACGATGCCTACCCCTCACACCCGTGCACCGACAAGTCCGACTACAGTGGTGTCGAGATCGATCAACTTGGAACTGCGCTGACTGGGGACGTATAGTCTTTAGTGACGAGTTATGTTTCTCACTGTGTCCTGAAGACCGTCGCAAATGTTTCTGTAGACGACCTGGGCAGCGTGTGGATCCTGGCCTTACTTTCGAACACCACACAGGTCTACATCAGGGTGTTATGGTCTGGGGTGCCATTTCATTTGATAGCAGGACCTCATTGCTAATCATTCCTGGCATCTTGACAGCACAACGGCCTGTTTTGTTACCGTTACTCTCACATCACCCCGGGCTTACTTTTCAACAAGATAATGCCCGGCCACACATGGCACGTGTCACTATGGATTGTCTACAATCTTGCCGAACTCTTCCGTGGTCAGTAAGTTCGCCTGATCTCTCACCCATAGAGCACATATAAACGTGATGGGAAGGCGATTTCAACCATCCCGGAATGTTGACTATTCATCCCGACAGTTAGAGACAATTTTCCTAGAAATCTCTAAGCACACCATCCAGTATCTTTATAAGTCCATGACACGCCGGGTGGCAGCCTGCATCCAGGCCAGTGGGGGTCTAACGGCATATTGACTTTCTCAATTTGTGTCGATAAAACTCTGAAATGAAATAATTAATTCTTATGAAATATTTATAGTTTTTACCTACATACATGTTCTTCAGATATACCAATTTGTGTGTGTGTGTGTTTCATTCTGAAAACTAGTTCTTGATGCGTCGATAATTTAATAGAGTGTGAAAAAATAGTACAAATGTAATATTGTACTGGGATAAGGTGCATAAATTAAGAAAAAGGCTTCTTCTTATCGAGCAACTGAAAGTTGAAAGTCAACATTGCGCCATCTATCGGAATAAATATCAACTATTCTCGTTGATTTTTAATTATTCCAGAATTTGGCCATTTCTGGAATAATTAAAAATCAACGAGAATAGTTGATATTTATTCCGATAGATGGCGCAAGCCATCAGAAACTTTCAGTTGCTCGATAAGAAGAAGCCTTTTTCTTAATTAATAGAGTGTATTATCTGTATATAAGAGAATTCCAAATACGTGTCGTTATTGATCATGTCTTAACCAATGGATTCTTCAAATAAACAAAGAGTATTATTAAGATGCATTAGCGCGCCATCTGTTATTAGAAATTGTAACTATTTTTGCCGCGTATATATTTATTTTTATTAAAATGAATCAACACTTTCTACTCTTCTTACTACAATGACAGAATAATAGTTTAAACTTGTGGAACCGCTGGGAAAGGATTCACTACTGATTAGCCAGGTTCTCTCATTATTTTATCATTGCAGTAAATACAGTAGAAAATTCATTTATTTCAAAAATGAACATACACGTCAAAAATAATTTCAATTTCGTAAACAAAGAGTGTTTCAATTTTATCTTAAAATAATAAAAACCCTATCACCTGATAACAACTTTTTATGATGGCACGGTAATGAAGTACATGTGGGACGTATATCAACAATGCCAGTAATTAGTGCAATATTGTCATCACCTAGTGTCGCTCACACAGCGCTTGCCTGCTCAGAGATGAATTCATCTTTGAACTCTTGGGGAGTTGAAGCCATTCCATGTTCCCAATACGGAACTACTAGCTTTGACAGTATTTTACACAATTTCAAATTTTATTTACATAAATATAAATTTTTACATTTCCCAATGTAAATGGTCCTTGCAGAGCGTCAGGACGGGACCTGTCTATCGATGCCTGACGAAGACAAAGGCCGGGTGATGGACGGACTGAGGGGACAAAGGGTTGTCGCAGTAATGATCCACCGCCGTCCGTTTGTTTCCCGCCAGCATTATTTATCGGCCGCCGCTGTGCCATCCATCTCCCCATCATAATGACGGAGGAATCTCCAACTGGATCCTTGGAATCCCTCTTTTGTTTGGGGAAATATTGACATTTTTTTAATATAGGGGAAAATATTCTCCTTTCTATAAAAAAATAATGTTTATAAATGCACTTAGAAATAGTTATAAATGCGCATACAATTATTTTGTTCTATGGGCAAGAGCTTTGACCTCTGTTGACAACAGGGACTCTGGTGACGACAGGGATCCACAGACGATCTAAAACAATGGACTGGACGACATACCCATGAGGAGATGAAGAGGATGGCGGAGGAAGTATGGAGAGACCATGTGGTCCACCCTCAGTAGAGGAAGGCATTGAAGGAGGGAAGTATGGAGAGACCATGTGGTCCACCCTCAGTAGAGGAAGGCATTGAAGGAGGGAAGTATGGAGAGACCATGTGGTCCACCCTCAGTAGAGGAAGGCATTGAATGAGGGAAGTATGGAGAGACCATGTGGTCCACCCTCAGTAGAGGAAGGCATTGAAGGAGGGAAGTATGGAGAGACCATGTGGTCCACCCTCAGTAGAGGAAGGCATTGAATGAGGGAAGTATGGAGAGACCATGTGGTCCACCCTCAGTAGAGGAAGGCATTGAATGAGGGAAGTATGGAGAGACCATGTGGTCCACCCTCAGTAGAGGAAGGCATTGAAGGAGGGAAGTATGGAGAGACCATGTGGCCCACCCTCAGTAGAGGAAGGCATTGAAGGAGGGAAGTATGGAGAGACCATGTGGTCCACCCTCAGTAGAGGAAGGCATTGAATGAGGGAAGTATGGAGAGACCATGTGGTCCACCCTCAGTAGAGGAAGGCATTGAAGGAGGGAAGTATGGAGAGACCATGTGGCCCACCCTCAGTAGAGGAAGGCATTGAAGGAGGGAAGTATGGAGAGACCATGTGGTCCACCCTCAGTAGAAGAAGGCATTGAAGGAGGGAAGTATGCAGAGACCATGTGGTCCACCCTCAGTAGAGGACGGCATTGAAGGAGGAGGACAAACTTGCAGCGATGTATCTAGGAAATGAGGCTTCGTCTTGGGCAGATTTAGTCAAAACATCCCAACACTCATCAATTACTTTCCATATAGTGTCGTCTGTTTCCAATATCTGAGAGCAGTTTCAGAAAGCCAAGAACACAAAGTATAATGTGATGACATGTGGTGAACATACAGTAAAAGCAGTCACTATCTATCCACCAAGATTATCATAACCTACATTATGTGATTGGTACTTGGTGTGAATTTTATACCTTTTTCGGCATTCAAGGATTGACATTTTGAACCTAAATTATGACTTGAGGTTTGCACTCGTACAGCCATACATAATTTGAATAACTTTGATGCAAAGCCGGGATCTCTTGCATGAATAATGAGCCTCAGAAAAATCTCTTGTTTATATATTTTCCAATTCATATTCACATTTGGATCAAATTTTTTTGGCGCAAGCCTGACATTGAAGTAGAAGCTGCTGCAAATGACAAATGTTAACTTTTACGGGTTAACACATAAAGTACAATTTACTAGAGCCTGAAGTGAAAGTAACTTAACACACAGAAAAGCGTACACTCAGAGTACAACAATAAAAAAGAAGACGTAAATAAAAACTCACAATTTGTTATATATATATATACTAGACGAATGACCCGGGCAACGCCCGGGTTTACCCGATTAAATGTTTTATTCAAACACTATTTGTTACAATTATAAATTGGCGCCGTGGATGTCACTCTTGTGAAACGTCCCGCTCCAAACTTTACAGTCAGATTAGTTACGATATAAATCTTCAAATCGAGCGAGCGTCTATAAATATTTCGATTTAGATCAAGTATTCTAATTATTAAGCGAACACTATTATTAACAAAATTTTGAGAAGATTTCGATTTTAAACGTATTTATAACCTTGATAGAGGGCGCTGTTCGTGAGCTAAGTAGAATAATTTGAATATATAGTTTTAATATTTAATTTATATATAATTTAAAATAGCCTATCGTTTTCCTCGTATTTTTTTTTAAATAGACAAAAGAATTGCTATAAATTTATTAAATAAAAACAAACGATAGCATTGCGTCTCTTTATATTTTTTTTTACCTATGTATGGAAATTTTGGTTTGAATTAGTGAACTACTGCGAATTTGTATACCGGACATACAAACCAACAAACAAACAAACAAACATACAAACATTCATTTTTATATATATAGAAGATATAATATAAAAATGAGTTTTAAAAATTGTTAAAAAAAAATGCATCGGCCGGGAATCGAACCCTCAGGTTCGCGTGGCAGGCGAGCATTCTACCACTAAGCCACCGATGCTTTAAAAAAAATGGCCATATTTAGGTATTCATTCCATTCCGGATATGTCCGCGTAAAAAAATAGTTCTTCAAATTAAAAAAAGAAATAGCCAAAAATACTAAGCAACTTTTATCCAAAAATTTCCCTCAGGTTTATAAAAAGCGACATGCAAAATTTGGTACCAATTGGTTCAGTAGTTTTTGAGTTTATCGCGAAACAGACAGACAGACAGAAATGACTTTTATATATATAGAGATTAGTGTTTAGGTATTTGATTTAATTCATATATAGTTGATATAATAGTATATATTTATATTATATTTTTTATAAATTAGTTTTAAAAATTGTAGAAAAAAATGCATCGGCCGGGAATCGAACCCGGGCCGCCCGCGTGGCAGGCGAGCATTCTACCACTAAGCCACCGATGCTTTAAAATAAATGGCCATATTTAGGTATTCATTCCATTCCGGATTAGTCCGCGTAAAAAAATAGTTCTTCAAATTAAAAAAAGAAATAGCCAAAAATAATAAGCAAAATGTAGCCAAAAATTTTCCTCAGGTTTATAAAAAGCGACATGCAAAATTTGGAACCAATTGGTTCAGTAGTTTTTGAGTTTATCGCGAAACAGACAGACAGACAGGAATTGACTTTTATATATATATAGAGATAGAGATAGAGATATATAAAAACGTACTTATCTTTTATTGCAGAGTTGATATGGATCGGACCGGGGTTACACGTGTATGCGAGGATACCGCCAAACACGGACACAGAGAACGCTCTCAGCTTCTCCACACAACTAAATCCTGGGAAAGAGTCCTTCGAATACCTATGGTTCCCCCCTTATATACAAACATGACCACATTTGTCCAATGATGTGAGAGATCGGTTCACTTAACAAACATTCTTCTCTTCTCAAAACTGAGAATCTTAAAACTGCTTATGTTTGTCAAAATAATTTGACACAAAAATCATAAAACTTTCTTTTCTTGGCTCTGTTCTGAGAGGTGTTCATTCTAGAATAGGTTTTGCATGTAGAAATGACGGGGTGGATCCATGCCTCGTCCAATGTAACAGCACTTTCCACCTGCCAGGTATAGAGGGCCTTTCTTTGGTTATATTCTATGATGAGAATACCAACTTAGATTTTTATGACCCCCTTTTATACCGATGATTTCATTGATAACGTTGGTTCCCTTGTGGGAATATTCCATTGTGATGGTTGATCCTCTCTGGGAGTTATTTTCCTCTTTCTTGGTTTTTCAAAAAAATGTTTTTAGAAATAATTTTTCATAGTAAAATGATTTATTTTATTTATAATATTCTCTATTAGTCGCCTAATTATGCGTACACATAAAATAACTTTACATTTCTGCCTCTTAATAATAAAAATATTTTTTCTTTTAATATTTGATCACATTTTAGAAAACAAGTTTTGCCCTCTTTGGATAGTGTCTGTAAAGGCAACCTCTAACCAAATCGCCAATTTTTTCAGACAATTTAAAATTTTATTAATATCATCATATTATTAGGTAAATAATTTAATGGTCGTTATCTCGTATAAATTAAAAAAACTTGGTAATGCAGTGAGTTCGAGAGGTACAGCGCTGCAAATTAGTTCTTTTAAAAATGAAATATCTTCCGCATTTGATTATTGTACAGTTTTTTAAATCAAATTCTACCGAAATCCTTCTTAATATTATTTTTTAAGCTGTTAAGAGGATTTTTATAGTTTACAGAAGTTATCACAGTGAATTAAGCTCTTATTCAGGTATAAGGAAATTGCGGTATATTTTATTTAAAAATATATATAAAAACCTTACGCAGTAAGTTTATTTATTAAAATAACTTATAATAAAGAAACCTTTTGCGTGAGTGTTTTTAGATATTTTTAATAAAAATTAGGCTCTGAGAAAAATTTACCTATAGTTGTAGTATCTCACTTCAGAGAGGGATATTGTGATGCAAATATTTTAATAAATGTTTTGTGAATAGTATAGCATACTAATTTTTTACTGCCCTCTCTCACCTGACATTATGGATTGATGTCCTATTATATTCCGCATTTGCCTAGTACAAATTTCTATCAGACTCAAAAGCTATATCATAAGGGTGCACACACCCTGTTGTTTACCTTATTTTCGAAACTTCTATAGCACACCAGGTTGTATTGTTACCTTATCGTGTTCGTTCTTCTGTCATTACAGGCCGCATGGGCGATGATCGCCAAAAGAGTTGCTCGATATGTCTTCCAATTCAGATCAAATTTGTAAACTTCTGCAATTTGAATCAGGATCCTTTCAATGCCTAGACCTGTTCGCAGTAATTTTTACCAATCTTGATATTAGACAAAATATTTCTTTCTGCTGCATCATTCTGTGATGTCTTTCCACCATTTGATATTCATTCAATAACTATATATTTGCTATATCTATCATCCTTCGTATGCTGTTAATGCTTGTTTGGCAGTACAACTACTGAAATTGGATTGATACAGAGATTAACATGGCCCCTGCGCGAAGATGACACTCAAAATCGTGAGGCGTTCATATGTCTTGCAGAAAGCGTTATCTGTTGCGATCTATAAAGATTATAAATTAATTATCAACGAGAAAAAAGTTTTAAACGAGATTAGAGAATACTAAAGATCACATAAGCATATGTTTAAAAATCCATAAAATTAATAATATAATATTTAGAGAAATATAGAAAAAAAACTTCTAGAAAATTATATAAAGGGCAATTTTGCAATTCTAAGAAAATTTTCTTTTAGCGTGACATTGCAAATTGAGAACTAGTTTTTTATGGATGAAAATAATTTTAAACTATATTTAGTCAAACATTAAATTTCATATCGTTACCTTTGTTCAGTGTTTTGTGCGCATCTCATTTTTCTTCACAAGATAATCGATGCCCAAAATCTTGTTTGATCATGTCAGAAGTTATTGGTGCAGTGTCGAAGAGGTTGTCTACATCGAGGCTAAGATAACAAGGTGTAGAAGTGTGGCTGGTGGAGGCGCAGTAAAGCCCGACCCCGCTGGGGCTGCAGTTATTCCCTTAACTCTCTGCAGGTCCCAAGGGCCCCATAACAGCCCCCGTCAGATGTGGCGGCAATCACTGGAGCTCCAGAAATTGATCGATACCTTGATAAATGGCATTCCTTGTTGGAGCACGTCAACAAACTTGGATGGCCACTTGGATCCAATGTAACCAGTAAAACACACAGATTCACCTTAAATTGTTTGTCCAATTCACTCTTTTAACCACAAATTTACTCATATTAAACTACAACTCGCGAAGTAAGGTTAAAAAATTAAAAACTTTGAAATTTTGATATCAAATTTGAAAATACTTTTTTTCCATTTAGAGCAAATTTGTTCTAGTTTTTAAGATCAACGTTTTCACCAAAAGACAAGATCTACAACATTCTTTGTGAAATATAAAACTGAAGAGATAAGCGATACAATAACTGTTGAAAGTTTACGTATAAGGAATAGGTCTAAATAAGCATTCAAAACCGGCGATTCAATGATTCTGACTCAAATAGTTTTCTCTTTCATACATGACCTTTTAACCTCTTGTGTATGCTAATGTTAAATTAAGAATTTTGCAGATACAATTTCATTTGACAATATTACATAGGATAGTTTATTCTCAATATATAAGTTAGTAAATGTTTCTGTTATTTTGCAGTCAGATCATTAGTTAAAAAGGTAAAAAAAAAAGTGTTTCGAGTGTGAAAAGAAAGTTCCACTTTGTTCACTAGATGGCGCTCTTCCATCTAAAATATTCATGTAAGCGGTTAGGATATGCCTATTTTTTTTTTTAAATATATAAATGTGGTAAGTTGAATCAAGGTCGAGTGTGGCGAAGAGTACACACAGGAGGCAGGAGTACAGAGCATGAACCTCCTCGTGGGAAAAATCTCGTTATTAACGATTGAATCTAGTTTTTTTAAATTGTAGTCTCAGATAGAGAATCATGACCCTATGAGTCCAAGAATTGAGGGTCTGATTTGACGAACTTTTTGTAAGAAGGAGAAATGTTACATCAGACAACTTGATCTTGCGAGAGTTAACTTATTTCTATTTGGAACTTCACTCTGTTCCCAAAGTCGTAAGGTGATTTGGATCTACAGTAACTCCGGCCAATTAGGCCTTCCAACACAAGATCCTCAGCGGCATGCTCATGGGCCTCAGCGCCGCCCTCTACAACATCGGTGTCGCCCCGGTGTTGCACCGCCTCGGTAGGGAATCGGGCCGCGGATGTATGGTCGCCTAAATGTGGATGATATACAAGTATATACTTGTAGTTCTCTTCATCAGGGACGACGATCAGTTTGAGCTCGTACTCTGATCTTCGAAGAGTCCCGCATGGTCTCAGGGGTATCTGTCAATTTCAGCAAGAGCTGCGGGGTTTGGGGTAATTCCTGGAAGCACCGGACGCATACTCCTCTGTGAATCTTCTGGACGTCGGAAACGATGACTATCATAGGATGCACGATCACTGCCGGGAACTCTTTCACTTCCCAGACCTCCAACCTGATGGGGCTACTGAAGCGAGCCATCGCGAGCTGGTCTATCACCTCCCGCGGCCCGCGTGGCAAACACCTTGGTTCTGGAATGCATCCCCACACCACTTCCACGAATACGCTCCATATGGAATAACCATTGGCCGGCTGAAGGTGTGGCTAGCGCGCTTTATGCGGGAACGATCCGAGTATCATGTCTTCCTGGAGGCATTTTGGCGTGTCCAGTCTCCGAGAGTGACGCAAAAAATTCCGACGCTTTGTGTCTGTAAGAACTTGGAGGAATTAGATAACAGAAATAATCCCATCATAAATAGGTCAATTTGAAGACAGCTGAAACGGGGAACCAGCGTGGAGCGCACGCATTACGTCTATAGCTATTCTGTATAAATGGTTGTTTTGATAGTTTTGGCTTGTAGTTCCAAGGAGTTTCGGGCTAGAAACATAAAATTGGCTGGAAGTGGTATTTCTAGTTCTCCTGTTGAAGGGCAT